AAAAAAAAAAAAAAAAAGTAACTATTGAAGTTTGCTTATATTTTTAATATTATGAACTTAGGAGTTAGATATATTTGATGTAGTCCTGTCTCTTGCAATTATTATTATTGATGCTTCAATTTTTTCAACTTTGACAGTGGAAGCTTTTCAAATGGGCTTCTAAGTCCTTTTAACATTTTTTTTTTTTTTTATATTTTTGCTTTCTGGTATAAATGTTCCAGTCACATCTTAGGTATTTCCTGCCCCTGGAATTAACCATTTCTTTGAGAAGTGCTGTTTCTTTTTAATGGGAGGTTGTATTTAGAGGTTGTAACCTGGGTGCTGGGAGTTCTCCTTACTAGCAGGTTGGTCCTTAATGTCAGGCTTTTCAGTGGCTAGAGCTGTGTGTGTGAGCGCACATGTGTGTATGCGTGTGGTGAATTCCACAGAATCTACAAGAAGGCTGTATCTTATTAGGCTTTATAGCTGTTCTGATTCACAAGACTATCACAGAGCACATGTGGCATCATGTTCATTTAGATAGTGGTTCTCAACCTTCCTAATGCCTCCTAATGCTGCGACCCTTTAATACAGTTCCTAATGTTGTGGTGACCCCCAGCTATAAAATTATTTTCATTGCTACTTCATAACTGTAATTTTGCTGCTGTTATGAATCATAATGTAAATATCTGATATACAGAATGTATTTTCATTGTTACAAAGGAGTCGCGACCCATAGGTTCAGAACTGCTGCTTTAGAAGGATACAGGACAGGAAACAGCTTAGCAGCAGGCCAGCAGCAGGCATCATTCTTCAGTAGGAGTAATCCTTGTAGCAGTCCAGATAGCTTTCCAAGACAGGGCAGGTGTGAGGAAACAAGGCTCAGGTGAGGTGAGTGTAGGATCGACCCTGGCCGAGAAGCCTCACTGCCCTATAGGAGCCAACATCGATTCTAACACCTCCACAGTCCTAACGTCCAGGGTCTCACCACCACCTTCAGGGACGCCCAGAGTTACTGTTTTCCCTTAGGTATTTATAATCTATAGATAGAATTCCCAGCTAGATGTAAGTTATCAATCAGGAGTCATTTTTACCATTAGCACTATTGCCTGGTAACACAATTGACCTATCACCTTTGATCTGTCAAGTTTGCCAGAGAACCATTCACATGGAAGGATGCATCTTTTGATACTTGAGAACTGCAGAGATTTTTACTTAACCTCATTAATTTTGAATCTATATTGCCTTTTTCTCACGCCAGAACCCCAGTTTTCAATGACACCAGCATAATTACTCATATTCTTTATCTCATAATGCACATATAGCAGCCTCAGAATAATACAACACTACCACCAACAAGATGATTACTGAGGTAGTTCAAGATTCTTTTATTAATTCTTTTTGTCTATAGGGTATTTCCATGTGGGAATGTATAGTTAAATTACTATATGTTAAAGTCACTTGCAATAGTTCCTCTCCATGGTTACACCAGTTTGTGACAAACATGTTCATTTGTTTAATTTTTTTTGTTTGTTTTTTTATTTTTTTGAGACAGAGTCTCACTATGTCACCCTCAGTAGACTGTTGTGGCGTCAAACCTCACAGCAACTTCGATCTCTTGGGCTTAAGCAAGTCTTTTGCCTCGGCCTCCTAAGTAGCTGCGACTATAGACGCCTGCCACAATGCCCTGCTATTTGGACTGGGTTCGAACCTGCCCACCTTGGTGTATGTGGCTGACGCCGCAACCACTGTGCTACAAGCACCGAGCCATTTGTTTAATTTTGCTTTTAAAATTTAATTTTATATTAATTATATAATTACAAGCAATTGCAGCTCGGTGCCTGTGGCTCAAGTGGCTAAGGCACAAGCCACATACATCTAAGGTGGCGGGTTCAAATCCAGCCCAGGCCTGCCAAACAACAATGATGGCTGCAACCAAAAAAAATAGCCAGGCATTGTAGTGGGCGCCTGTGGTCCCAACTACTTGGGAGACAGAGGCAAGAGACTTACTTGAGCCCAGGAGTTGGAGGTTACTGTGAGCTGTGATGCCATGGCACCCTACCCAGGGTGACAGCTTGAGGCTCTGTCTCAAAAAAAAAAAAAAGAAAATTATAAGCAATTGCATAATTATAAAAAAGTAAGTTTTTAATCTCAAATCTATCAAACAAATCTATTTGGAGAGATCTGGTTTTTATTCATGTCTCCTCAATGCTGTTCCTTTCATAGGTAACCTTATCTTTTAAACTTAGATTTGGATTTATTTTTCCATTAAAAAAATAAGGCAATGGCTCGGCGCCTATAGCTCAACTGGCTAAGGCGCCAGCCACGTACACCTAAGGTGGCGGGTTCGAATCCCCAGCCCGGACCCGCCAAACAACAATGACAGCTGCAACCAAAAAATAGCCGGGCGTTGTGGCGGGCGCCTGTGGTCCCAGCTACTTGGGAGGCGGAGGCAGGAGACTCGCTTGAGCCCAGCAGTTGGAGGTTGCTGTAAGCTGTAATGCCACGGCACTCTGCCCAGGGGGACAGCTTGAGGCTCCGTCTCAAAAAAAAAAAAAAAAATAAGGCAATAAAGTATATAATGTATATATTCATATTTTTTCCTTTTTATTGGCTAGATAGTTGCTTTGTTTTTTCACTGAGTGGTATCTGCTTGTGTTCTCATCTATGGCAGTCTATGGAAATATCCATCGTTGTTTTTTACAGTGGCAAATACCGTGTTGTGGGGATGCACCACAATTTATTCAGTAGTTCCCTCCTGATAGACCCTTGAGTTTTTCCAGTTCTTTGCCATTACAAATGGCACTCTCATTTTAAAATAAACATTTCAGTAATCACAGTTACATTTGCTTTGCTTTACTCTCCCATCTGTCTGGTTTGACTTCAGAATTGGAATTGTATTTTAATGCTTCTGAGCCTGCAAAAAGTCATATGATGATTCTTCCTTTGATTTTGCTGCTATTACAGGCAACAAGATTGATTTGGCTGAAAGGAGAGAGGTATCCCAGCAGAGAGCTGAAGAATTCTCAGAAGCTCAGGACATGTATTATCTGGAGACCTCAGCCAAGGAATCTGATAACGTGGAGAAACTCTTCCTTGATTTAGCGTGCCGACTCATCAGTGAAGCCAGACAGAACACACTTGTGAACAATGTATCCTCACCATTACCTGGAGAAGGGAAAAGCATCAGCTATTTGACTTGTTGTAATTTCAACTAAAGGCTCAGGCAAGGAAAAGCAAAAGGAATCAGCAGTTGCCCTGATGGGCCACAAGTTTCCAGGGAGATCTGGAGATGACTGTGGCTCCCACTCTTGGATCTTCTGACTCCTGTGGGCTCCTGAGCTTACAAAGCATGGCAGGCCAAGGGCCTCAACCACAGGCCAGCATCAGCAGAACACATCACGGTTCACCCTTTTGCAGTCTGGAGTTGGAGCAAGGAGAGAATTGCTGTAGGCACTCCATGATCTGCAGAGCATGTTGCTTTTGTTTTTTTAAAAGCAAGTAAAAATGCATTCCTGAACACAGCCCAGGGGGAAACGGACTGTAGGATCCCTTCTGTGCGTTAGTGGGTGCATGTGGGGGCTGTTCTTTAGGGCTTCAGAGGTAATCTTCTGGGGGCCCTGGTTTTCTTTGCAACCAGATAAACCAAAACTGGGAAAGCCAAGTACTGTCTCTGTGGTGCGTATTGATGACCCTGTGGGGATTTTGAAAAGTGTTATTTCTCTTATCCACAGGCACTTTCAAGACCTTTGGGATGTAAAAATGAAATGAAACCTTTACCCATGACCAACAGTAACAATCATTGTTTTAATAATACATTCAAGCTCCATGACTCCTTTTGGTGCTAATGATTCCGCTGTTTCATAGACCAAACATTTTAGTACAATGATGTCCTTAAATGTATTATACAGAAATAAAAAATGGGGGAAGTCCATGAATCAGCACTCTTTCTCAAAATCTCATTACTACCTTATTTAAGGTGGATCTGTTGGAAAAGGGAGTAATTTCATGTTCCCTTCTGAATCTCTACCATTTTCTTCTATTCTCTTATTTTCCTGCCCATTAAGTAAATGAAAAAAATGACAAATGTTGATAATATTCTAATATAAAAGATGAGCTCTAAAACATGAAGTATATGAGAAAACCAACCAGATATGACCAAAATACTGTGGATTAATGGACTGCAGCGCAGGATGCCAAGCAGAGCACAGTCTTAGATAGCAGGTCACACATCTTTTGCTTCCTAAAACTGCCCATCCCGGACAGACCAAGGCTTAGGATTTTGTAGATTTTTTTAGTATGATCAGTGAGAATGCAACACATGAAAAGTTTCATGAACCATTTTTGTATCTTCCAATGATAACCTAAGAAAAATTCTGCTTGTGGAAGCAGGTTGAACGGTCATTCTCCTCTCTTTCTTATAGTAATGTTACTCGCAGACTCACGACCATATACTCTTTCTTGGTCTCTCCTTCCTTCCCCGCCCCTTCTTCCCCCTCACCCTTACATGCATGTGTTACTGCACATCTCCAAATGAAGGTGTACATGCCTTTACTTGGCCGATTTTAAAACAGGACTTAAAATGGAATGTGCGTCTGTTTCTTCAGTGCCATACTTTGATAGCTTCCAATTTGTACTCTAATATGAGTACAAATTGGGAAAATAATTAAACCTGTGTGCTGTTGATGCTGTCAGAGGTTTCTGTAGCTCACTGCTTAGCCTAGCTGAGGGATGAGTAATGGAATAAGATATGACATATAATTCCACCGTTGCTATAGATGGTGACAATCTCATTCTGGATACATTGACGTTTGAAAGCTATTTAATTGTAACGAAATGAGTCATGCAGAGACATGATATTGATCATGCACTTCTAGCATTTCTGTAGCAGGTTCCAGAGTGACCCATCTCTTACGCCTGGGATTATACATATTGTGTAAGAGAATGAACTTTTGATTGGCCTCACTGTATTTTTCCTTATCCTATTGGAAAGAAAAAGGGATTCCAGAAGTTTGACTTTTTTTTTTTAAGAATCTGCCTCTATAGGAAAGAAAAATCATCTTAATAAAAATCAAAATAATTTATGATTGTTACCTTTTCCTCCCAATCTTCTCCACTAAGCCAGCAACTAAAGGTATTCAGAAAATATGTTAATCAAAGTGGGCAGAATTTCTCTTTTTAAACCGTGAGGAAATGTCCTTCAGTTTAGATTTATTACCTTTCATTTAGGGCAAAAGTGCAATGACCTAACTTTGTCTCACAGCAGCAAGTGTATTGAAAATAAAGTTGCTTTGTGGACTTAGAGGAATGGGTTTTGTTAGACTGGACTGATGTACAGGTAGTTGCAAAATTATAGCTTTTAGGGCCACACTTGTATTATGAAATTCTTATTCCCTTGGGTTTAGCCACCTCTCTGTACCCTTGGCCAGGCTCAGAAGCGAGTTAGAAAGCTCTTTTCTTGGCCCTCGTCTTCCCTGTTGGTCCTCTCAGCCTTTCTGTCACTTACAGTAACCCATCTGTGGCCCATCAGCAGGGACACATGAGAATGTGGGAATTTGGGGTTTTTTCTTAATTGTATGAATTGCAGATTAGGCCTTATGATCTGCTTGTCCGCTGATCTATCTTAAGTTTGAGAACAATCCCTGACAGTATTATAGGTGCAATAAACATTAGTTGAATAAACAATTTAGTGCCAAGAGGGGCTTTTTTGGTTAAACAGAAATTCCTTCAAGTAGAACTCAAGAAAGGACAATAATTAAATGAAGTCATCTTAACCCAGACCAGGACCTAAACTGATTGGTTCACCTAAAGCTTCTTATTGTCATGGCAATATGTGCTAAAATGAGCCTTCTTTAGATAAAAATGAATTCTCACTTAATGATAGTTGAGAAAGAGTTGTTTTATTATCATTTAACTTGGCCTGTGCTGATTAATAAGACTATCAGCGTTCATATCTTCATTGTTAGTGTGAGATATTTCTTCTTTAATAAAGTTATTAAATATATGGCAGAACTTTTTCCAGTTTCCAAAAGTGACACATGATATTCATGTCATGAAGTCAGGCTTGGGAATGATAGTTTGCGAATGATATTTCACGATGGCTTTGCAGAGTCTGCACCCTCAGAAGATTCTTTGCTCTCTTCTTTGCCCATGGAAGGCTTTTTCTGTTTTGTATGCTTTTATTAGATATGTTGAATTATATTAACATTTATTTTTGTGACTATAATAAGGGGCCAATTATCTTCTTTGTAGATTACTTGGACTAGGCCATTGACTCTGCCTGGCCTTTTTTTCCCTTTTAGTCCTTTCATGTTAACATCTCTGCCTATGTAAATTGGCAAGAAAATAACTAAAAATGAAACTTAAATAGATTGACTTGACGATCTGTCAAGCTCTGATTTAGGAAGGTAGAAACCACTGACCAATGGTTATTTTAAACCATTTAGACTTGTTGGAGGAAGGAGGCAGATTGAACAGAGGACTGGACTCTTACCTGTCTTCTGTCCAGGAATGTGTCCCTTCATAGGACACTGGTGACTTCCACGGGGGGAGGTCAGTGACTTGCTTCCTTCACCCATTAAGCTATCCCATAATTATATTGGATCCAGCACCAAATTCCAGTTAATGGCTTTTGTTCTGAATAAATACCAGTTGCAAATAATTTTGAATTTGGTCTTCTGGCACATGTTACTATAATCATAACAAAGCTTATTTTTAAATTTTTTTTTGAGACAGAATCTCAAGCTGTTGCCCTGGTAAAGTGTTGTGGCATCATAGCTCACAGCAACCGCAAACTCTTGGGCTTAAGCGATTCTCTTGCCTCAGCCTCCCATGTAGCTGGGACTACAGGCGCTTGCCACAACACCCCACTATTTTTTGGTTGTACTTGTCATTGTTGTCTGGATTCAAACCCCTCAGCTCCGGTGTATGTGGCTGGAGCCCTAGCCGCTTGATATACAGGCGCTGAGCCATAAAAAGCTTATTTTTTTCTGCATATCAAACCAATGGCCTTAAAGATAGATATTTTCTATATCTTATAGAACTCTATATTTCATGGTCATAAATATTAGGTGTCATTTCTCTATTAATCTCTAGGAGACCTCTTCTAGGATTTGCCATTCCTTTTTTTCTAGAGTTTTGTTTCTTTGTTTTATTTTAACTGCAAGTGGTCACTCACTTTCTTCAACCATAGTCCTGACAGCTATGTTTTGATGTAACTATGATAACACTTTGGAGACTTGGAAAATCAAAAGCAGTGAAACAACATTTGCATCTCATCCTTCAAAATATATTCCATATAAGTAATATGGTTAAATATTAATTTTGGGATAAGAAAGGGATGTGCTTACGTTATTCTACTTGGATTTCATTTCTGTGACATGAGCCTATTTGTGTTTGGAAGGAAAGATACCTTTCCTTAAATCCTTCACACTGGTTATTTCTTCATACCGAGTTAAAAGACTATCATCCCTTCAAACTGCTAAATAATTAGAATGTTAGCATAAGGCAGATGGTACTTTATGTCCTTTCCTAAGTCCCATGACATTGGAATGTTACCATTTGTGGGAGCCATATTCTGAAATTAAAACAAATTGAGGTATTACTAGCCTGGTGAGGAAATTTAAAATTTAAGACATTTAAAGAATACTTGAAGAATTTGGGGAGACTCAGCTTAGTAAACAGTGCAAGATGCTCTGTGGTTGAAAGAGGTGGAATGAGGCCCACTGAATAAGGCTATAGTGCCACAGATTTGGGCTCCATGTGAATGGGAACTTTCTTACAAAGTCAGTTCGCCATGGAAGCCGTTGCCTCAGGTATTAGGCTGTCAAACAGAGGCTAGAGACGAACTTGGCAAAAATGATGGAGAGAGAATCCTAGCACTGGCTGGGGATTGGACCAGATGGTCTGTTTGTTAACCTAAAATTCTGTGTTGCCACTCTTTGGTTTTCATAACATGTTCAGTTAAAGGTCTGTTGACCCATAGCTAATGATTTTTTTTTTTTTTTTGAGCTTTTCTCTTCTGCTGCCAGTGCATTCATTCTGCTTTCCAGAGAGGAGGTTGGTGATAAGTCAGTAGGCCAAGAACCTGGCTCGCCGTTACGTTGTAGGCTGTGATTGCCTTGTCAGTCCATTCATTGATGTCCCATTGAAATAACAAACTGGTTCTTGAGGCAAAAATAAAAAAAAATATTGTTTTAGTGGAAGTTACATGAAATGATTCATTCATCATTTGCCAAATATAGGTCTTGCTCAGTTTAATGAAGAATCGGTGTCTTTTCAGGATAGGCATTTTTAGCACACAGCAAAATCTGTTAAAGATCCCACAAATAGACCAAATGAAATTCTCTCAACTACCATGAGAGAAGGGCTTTTGGGTTACCGGCAT